AACGGAGTACGCATTTGTTACATACATAATTTGTATATTATATTGTCTGTATATGTTAGTTCTATTATAATTTTTGATAAACCAAATATGAAATAATATTTAGTTTCATATTTGGTTTATCAAAAATTATAATAGAACTAACATATATAGACAATATAATATACAAGTTATGTATGTGACAAATGCATACTCCGTTATTTTTTAGAAATAAATTATAATATGGATTTAAATAAATAAATTTTAGGTATACTATATATTGATCTTTGTCTTATTATTAAACTTGAACATTAAAGAATAGTAGATTTTGTGAAAATAAATATTATTCCATATTTGGTTTATCAAAAATTATAATAGAACTAACATATATAGACAATATAATATACAAGTTATGTATGTGATAAATGCATACTCCGTTATTTTTTAGAAATAAATTATGATATGGATTTAGATAAATAAATTTTAGGTATCCTATATATTGATTTCTGTCTTATTATTAAAATTGAACATTAAGGAATAGTAGATTCTTTTAAAAGAAATATTATTTCATAGTTGGTTTATCAAAAATTATAATAGAACTAACATATATAGACAATATAATATACAAGTTATGTATGTGATAAATGCATACTCCGTTATTTTTTAGAAATAAATTATGATATGGATTTAGAAAATAAATTTTAGGTATCCTATATATTGATTTCTGTCTTATTATTAAAATTGAACATTAAGGAATAGTAGATTCTGTTAAAAGAAATATTATTTCATAGTTGGTTTATCAAAAATTATAATAGAACTAACATATATAGACAATATAATATACAAGTTATGTATGTGACAAATGCATACTCCGTTATTTTTTAGAAATAAATTATAATATGGATTTAAATAAATAAATTTTAGGTATACTATATATTGATCTTTGTCTTATTATTAAACTTGAACATTAAAGAATTGTAGATTTTGTGAAAATAAATATTATTCCATATTTGGTTTATCAAAAATTATAATAGAACTAACATATATAGACAATATAATATACAAGTTATGTATGTGACAAATGCATACTCCGTTATTTTTTAAAAATAAATTATGATATGGATTTAGATAAATAAATTTTAGGTATCCTATATATTGATTTCTGTCTTATTATTAAAATTGAACATTAAGGAATAGTAGATTCTGTTAAAAGAAATATTATTTCATATTTGGTTTATCAAAAATTATAATAGAACTAACATATATAGACAATATAATATACAAGTTATGTATGTGACAAATGCATACTCCGTTATTTTTTAGAAATAAATTATAATATGGATTTAAATAAATAAATTTTAGGTATCCTATATATTGATCTTTGTCTTATTATTAAGCTTGAACATTAAGGATAGTAGATTTTGTGAAAATAAATATTATTTCATATTTGGTTTATCAAAAATTATAATAGAACTAACATATATAGACAATATATACAAGTTGTGTATATAGTATACATCAATAATACATCATTCCAAATTTTTCTCTGCTCAGGACCACGTTGACTCTTCCATCATTCCAAAACTCACCACTTCCATCAAATTTGTTAGGCCTGCGTAAAACAATCACAGTTAGTTTGTACTGGTCGCTGGCAGAAAATGATGTTGAATTCTAAACCATCGGATCAGTTTGATGTATTAGTACCAGTGGCATGCAAGGGAGGTTGATCGGTCTCTCTAGCAAACTATCCATTTCCATTGCATTTCTTCCAGGAGTTAGGCGTTCATTATTTTCGGGAGTTAGGCGTTTATTATTTTCGGGAGTTAGGCGTTCATTTGTGTGCCTCAAAGTACACTGATAACTGTCTTCTATCACCTGCTATCAGCAATTTTTTTAGTTTGTGAAGTTTGTTATTGTTGATAAATTGGGCGAAACTTGTCTATTCAACCGTCACAAACAATAACCGTTGTTTCTTTAAACAAACCTCCAATTTTCTCATCCAGACCGCACCATTTCCTCCACATTTTTGGACACGGCCACGTTCAAAGGAGCAATGCTCAATGCCCTTGCCTCTTATTTCCATCAGGTTGGCCGAAATGCTTGTCATCATTTTATTAAAAAATTATATTAACATATTTTCAATGATAATTTTTCGAACTGAACCGGTTCAGGATTACCACACTCGAAAATGCGAACATCTCCCCGCGGAGTCGCTTTCCGATCGAAATATCGCTCTCACAAACTACCTTCAATTGATCGCAATCTTTCCGAATTCTCGGAACAATGCGTTGCTACCAATAAATTTTTGATAATCTTCCCAATCCCAGAGTATAAGAGTATACTAATATATATGAGTATACGGTAATTCCAAACCTGGTCCCCATTTTTTCTTCCCTAAGATTCTAAATAATGGTCGAATTTTTTTCTTTCCCACCTTCCTCTATTTGCCCCGTAGCATATTCAACGGTGTAATGAGAGTATTTTACAATCTTATCAAGTACTTACAAGGATTAAAACTGAAAACATGATAGCAAAAATTAAGGGCAGGTCCGGGTACTTAGGTCTGTTTCCTTGAAAAAGTCCAAACTTACCAAACAAAGCATCAAGTCGTTTCGTTTAAACGTAGTTTTTCATGAAAATGCGAATATAAGTGTACGTCTATAAAATTAATCTTCTCTTTATCAATGTCTTTTGTTTGAATATGCCACAGGGCAAATAGAGGAGGGAGATGAAGGAGAAAATCTGACCATTATGCACAATGAAGGAAAGAAGGGGAGACCAGGTTTGGAATTACCCGGTTTGGAATGAGTATACTTCCGGTGTATAAGCTTTGCTGCTTGCTGTTGATCGCCTACTAAATCATTTAATACGGGATTATGATTAATACGGGATATAATCCCATGGTATCTTTTAAATCTCCTTGATCGCCCCAAATTACATGATAATCTCCGTAATCCCCCGCTACTTAGTTAAACTCCTTGATCCCTCCAAATCCTCTTATATCCTTCACATAACCCCTCCAAATCCTCTATCTCTCCAAAACATTACCTATCCAACTTACATGTATCACAAAATCGAGTAGGACTCGCAGACTTATAATAATACACCTATTTTTACTGAAAAATGGCTAATACTTGATTACGTTTAGATAACGAATTTACTAAAAATTTTTAAGAGATTGATCTTAATGAGTATGCAGAAACGTGTCGGGCTAACTCAAGGAACGGACAAGTCAAGGAACGACAAATCAAGGAAAGACAAGTCAAGGAAAAGACAAATCAGGAACGACCAACTCAAGGAACATACCAACTCAAGGAATATTTTAAAAATCGAAATTTCTTGAAAAATCTGAATATTTTTCGAAAATAAGAATTTAAAAACAGATTAGAACACCTTTAAAAACAGAATTAAAAAAATTCTGAAAAATGCTGGTTTTTAAAAATATTCTGATTTTTAAAATTTTCCTTGAGTGGTCTTTCCTTGAGTTGGTCGTTCCTTGACCTGTCTTTTCCTTGACTTGTCGTTCCTTGATTTGTCTGTTCCTTGAGTTGGTATTCCTTGAGTTAGCCCCCACCCATGCAGAAAATGGAAGTGATAATTCTATTGAAATATAATAATTATGTTCTAGTTTAATATTTGTTCTAGTTGTGCTGGAATGCGCCGTTCAAAAAAATTAAAGATGAAAAAGATTTTCCAGCATTGAAATATAAACCGACTGTCTCTATTAGACCGTCACCTAATAAATCGACCTTCTAGAGGACTATTAAGAAAAAACCATTTTACAAAAATGTTAATGATAGACATGTAAATACTTTTTTTTAATTTTTAAAAAAAGTATTCCTTCACGAGATAAAGATATTTTATGATGGAAAGATGGAAAAAGATTTCTAAGAAAGGAATTAAAGATGTGGGAAGCGTGAAAATTTTCTAATTCTGCTAATTCGGGGCAAAATTGCCGAAAGTAAATAAAAAGGCAGAAGTTCTAAAACTCAGAAAAAATTGGTAAATGTCCAGAAGTGAAAATTTTTTAGTGACCAAAAAAGTGAAATCGAGTTACTCAAAGTAAATTAAAAAACAAAGTAAATCTAAAATTGTGTTTAACTATTTTAAACAAACGCGCATATTCATATTGTCACTGTGTTTGATAAGTAACAACTCTTGTTTGTTTTCATCATCGATTTTTTCATTCTGCTTGTGTGCATTTTTTTTAATTATTTTTTCCCTCATTTGTTTCTCCCATTTTTCTTAGACAAAACAAAATTGACTTGAGCCCGAAATTTTTTTTCATGTTTTAAATTTTAAAAATTCAGAAAAAAAATTTTTTAACTCGAACTCATAAGGCCTTCTTCATATTGCTACAATAACTGAGGGACAGAGAATTGGCAGTCAACACAAAGCTTTGGACACTTTGATTTGGATTTTAGAGGAATGGAAGTCTAATGTGCACTCTTCTGAGCTTCAAAAAGTTATGAGGTTTGGTGTTTTTGGGTTTTATGGTATTAGTATTGCTTTCCCCTTTGATCTTGAGTTTTAAAAATGCTTTTGGATTCTATTCCCCGTTCTGAAAAAATTGGTTTTGAGGGCCCAGACTATCGGGACGATATATGTATGTTATTCGAAATAGCTGTCGAGCTAAGTCGAACGACATCAAAATTAGCTCGATTCGATGATTCTGAACAAAGTTATGACCAACTGAATTTTTGCCGAAAAAACTCTTCTGCTACGGAGGGAAGCCAGGGCACGGTCTTTGCTACACGATGGTCTCCGCACCATTCCGCGGTCATAAACTTGTCAGATCAAGTCGAATTTCGTTGATTTTGGTGATAATCGACTTCGCTCGACGAGCTTTTTCGAATGAGCTATTATTTGCATTTTCGGATTTTCATCCCAAAAATTAGCTTGGCCCCTTATGGGTTTTCGATCTTCGGGAGCATATCTAGTTTCATACTCAGCTCACAGTAGTGAGCATATAATTATGATTCAGGCCCTCAAACCCAATTATACCTACGTTTTTAATAATTGAGTATTTTTGGAATATTTTTTGAGGGCCTCCTCAACCCTCGGCCTCTTCCCTTTCTCTTGCCTTGATTTTTCGATATATAAAACAAAAGTCAGTCAACTCATTTTTTTTCATCAAATCCCTATCGAGCCATACATTGAAATGTTTATAAGCACATTTTTCACTGAAATATGAGGTGACACTTTTCTGTATACCCAAATTAGTTGTCAGATCTGAAATGAAAAGTGGCCCAAATTCAAATTTTTTTATTTCTTTTTTTTAGGATTATACAATCACCCATCTTTCTCCTAAATTCCCCCCAGTTGGCTGAATCTGCTGATAAATTGATGCAAAAATGTGTTGAAGTGTTGACACTTATTGGTCGATGTTGGTCTAAACAATGGACAAATAGTTTACACAGCAAATTGTCTCGAAAATATGGACTTTCTGGATTTATTTTTGGTGAGGTTTTAATTGAGATTTTTACTTATTTTAGTTTTTTTTTAATTTTAGATAATGTTTGTTTTTCCTGTCTGGAGTTCTTTAACCGCCTTCTAATATAGCCCAACAGCCCTCGAATTTAAATATACATCAGCAAACAAAAAGCATCAAAAGTTACTACTTTATTCAAACATCAACTTCAAAAATGCTGTGCTCTACGCTGGTATTGCCATGCTTAAAGGCTGGCATTTTCCTTCAAAAGATGCAAACAAAAAGCATCAAAAGTTCCTACTTAATTCAAACATCAACAACAATGCTGTGCCCTACGCTGGCAATGCCATGCTTAAAGGCTGGCATTTTCCTTCAAAAGATACTCTTTTGGTTTGTACATTTCCCTTTATACATTCTTCGGCTCTACTGCAGTTTATGAGTCCAATCACGCTTTATGAGTCCAATAAAAAGTTTATGAGTCCCATCACAGTTTATGAGTGAAAAAAAACTGATTACTAGCTTCTCACCTTTTTATATCGTTCCATTTTCAGCCTTGATCTGCCTACCTACCCCATAACTCACAAAAATCTGATTGGCCTCATAACCTTTTCATTGGACTCATAAACTGCAGTAGAGCCTATTCTTCTCACCTTTTTATCAACCTTTTGTTTACCAAATAAAGAACTGATTACTAGCAAGGAAACATTGCTTAGTGTCAGTTTTTGGACCATTCAATAAAGGAGCTTCGACTTCCTATTGGGAAATGATAACAGTTTCCTTGTACACATTTCAGTGTGCTTGAAGCGTTAAATTACATCCTTTTTTGGCAATATGTCGGTTTTCATTTCACCATTTTTGAGATAATTTTTATTGAAGCGAAAGCATGAAAGAATACAGTAATTTTTGGCGCATTCGATTTTGATCAGTTAAAAAATTTATATTTCGGATTAGGAGACAGTGTTTTAGACTGGTAATTCCCCCATCGTACCTATTGATTTCCCTCTTTTTAGTCCGCCTAAACGCTTAATACGCTAAATTTATCGTTTGTATTTTCTTTTTTCACCTCTAGAATTTCCATAGTTTACCGTTGTATTTCGAATGATTATGAAAGGTAACTTTCCGTAACATTTCTAAAGAGAGGCATTGGTTCAAGAATTCGTGGGTGTAACCTCTTTAGAAATGTTACGGAAAGTTAACTTAAATTACTGATTTCATGCACAACAGCAAAAATGAGGAAATCTTGGGGTGAAAAAAGCAAAATACAACTCGAGTGCTTTAAATTTTAGAGATAAACGAAAATGGCAGACGATCTTTACGAGAATCCTTCTCATTTACAAGTCACTCAAAGTTCTCCAACAACGGCATTAGCACCAACAACTGGTGACACGTCGTACAACTCGAGTGTTTACTTGATGTCTCTGGTTGACAAACAAATGGAACAACTTACTGAAAAGGATAAAATTATTCAAACAAAGGACGAGGAAATTAAAAATAAAAACGCGATCATCGCACAGAAAGACGAAGAGATTGCTCGTCTTAAAAGTCGCAACATTAAGGTTTATTTTAAATAAGCTAAAATTAACAAATTATTTTGCTTTTAAGTTGGAAATGGCTGCAAGCACTTCACGTGCTGTCTGGAATGAAATTTTGCCATCTACATCAAAAGGTTAAATAATTCTTCAAAATCATTCTATTTTTTTATTTAGCAGGGACATCTAAAGATGCTGGAAAAGCTGATGATGGCAAGGGAAAACCGGATGTGACGATTAAGAAAGATGAGCCAAAGAAGAAATCTGATCCTGAGGCAAAGAAGAAGGGGCAAAAATAAGAATATTTTTTGAGGAAAAATTTATGGAGGAAGAATAAAAAGAATTATTTATTTTGAGCAAAATATTATTGCTTTTTTTTGTTTATTTGGTGAGTAAAATTTTTGTTGAAATCAAAGATTTTACTAATAGATCGATTTTTATCGATATTTATTTTTGAAAAAACTTAATTTCTCCATTTACTACAACGAAATAATATATTTTTCGACCCAACCCCTTATGTTAACAACATTTCCAACCTCTACATCAGCAAAACTATCGAAGGCAGCCTGATCATCTTATTAGAACTGCTACGACATCAAAAATTTTATAGGAGCAGGAATGCTTCCTTTTTAGGTTTTTTAATTTTATTTTCTGGTTATTTATCCAAGAAATCAGTTTAAGGGAGTTTTCTAAAACCGCTTACATAATTATAATTGACAGGAGATTTAACAATTTTTTCCACGAGTAAATTGTATTGTCCACAAACCGATTATAGACCGAATGTCTGCTGACCTATTGTATAAAGCTTCCATAAAATCAAGAATTTTTGTTTTTTTTTAATTTGTGCACATGCTGGCAACAATTAAAGTAATTATAATTATTTTTTAGATTCAATCAACTCAATAATCTTTAAACAAAAATTTATTTTCAATAATGTATTGTCTTCAATGGTTAATGCCCATCTTTTTAATACCTAAACAATTAGTTCATCCAGCATTTTTAATTGATCAAGCGCTCTTTTTGTGGTTTTATATTGCTGGTTTTGTTTTGGAAAGAAGGTTTATTTTAATTTAGTTTTTTGTTAGGAAGGGAGGTAATCAACCAAGAGATCGGGAATTAAAAAGACCTTTTTGGTCGGGGCCCCTAACCAGATTCACCGTGAGCCAAGGAAAAAATCAAGGGACACTGAAAAATGCTTTTAACTTGATTCCGGTTTAGCGAAAATCAAGATTTAGGCCGATCTCTTTTCCAACTAAAATAATTTCTTCAAATAAAAGGGCACCCGTTGAACAACTTTTTTTTCAATAAATAATTTATTTTAATATCTTTTTTGTATTTATGGGGTCATTAAGGAGGTCGTGGGTTCGAGTCCTCTTGTCGAAATTATTTTTTAAATTTTTTGAAAGGACAAAAGTAGACCTCTTTGAGCATTGTTATAAGAATATTGGGATAAACAGTTTTTGTTACACTAGAAAATACCCTCCGGGCATCATTTGGTTTTCATTAGTATGGCTGTTGGTAGTCCTCGGTTCAGTTCCGAATCGACAACCCTAATTATGAGCGATATGCCCAACAATAACTGTCAAGAGAGGGCAGGTTCGATTCTTGACCGGTGTCAAAACTTTTAATAAACTGGGTTTTTAAAAAAATTTTAAGGAAGAAACAACATTTCTAATTTTACTAAAAAATCCACACCTTCAACCTCATTCACAACAAGAGCACGTAGATCTAATTGTCAACAAATACAACAGAAAAATACAAAGGATGATGGCGACAGTGCTGTTGATTTGGATGGATTGAACAATAAGGATTTTAGGTTTTTTAAAATAATTTTTTTTGAATTGCTGGGGTTTTGTATCAAAAATTTTAAGAATTGCTAGTTTTTGCTAGATTTTTTCTTTTTCGGCCCTACCCCCCAAATCGAAAAGTTATAGGGCTTCGAAATTTTCGACTTTTGGAGCGGTTGCCCGCAAGAATTAGTTTAGGATATCCCACAATAACCTTCAACTTTTGTTAATATTTTTAAATTTTAGTGATAATGATGAATCAATTGAAGGAACCAGCAATTCTACTTCACCAATTTACACAATCCATCAATTAAATAATAACAACGATTCTTCTTTAATTACTTCTATTCTTCAAGAAATTCAATTGCCTCATGATGGTTCTGATGATTCTTCATTTGCTCCACAAATTGATAATCAATCGTAAATTTTTTGTGTATATTTTTTAATTCTGGAAGGGTTGCCTTTTGAAGTAATCAGCCAACGAGATTTGGCAGAAATGTGATCTGGCTAGGGTTGTCGGTTCTTGGATATCTTCGGATGTCCAGAAACGAACCGACAACTTTAGATCTGATTATTTATGTAACAAAGCGGAAGAATTCGCTGGTTCAAGTCCGCTGGTTGATAACTAATTTTGCTTTTTAAATACTATTTTGTGAAACAAACAAAGCAAATTTCGGGGACTTTTAGATTTTTTTACATTTTTGAGTAAAGAAAGATTGAAAAAATTTTATGAAAGATTAGAAAGTGTTTGTACAAAAATCTCAAGAAACTTGTTACTATTTCCCAAAATAATTTAAAATTAAAATGCTATATATTCTTTTACCAATTTTTTTCATTTAAGTATTGCTTTACTTCAAAGTCTGCCTCCTTCAACAGAAGAAACGCGTTATCGAAGTCCAGCACTTCCTTTGAGGACAAGATCTATCTACACCTCTTTATTCACTAGTTTTGGATTTGGATGAGACATTGGTTCATTGTAGTATTGAAGAATTACCTGATGCTGCAATGACTTTTGAAGTTGAATTTCAAGATCAAGTTTTCCAGGTTTTTTATTTTATTCAGATCAATTATACAGAATAAAAGGGGATATTCTTGGATGATTTGGGGGGGGGTATTCCTGGGTGATGGGATATTCTTGGGTAACCTGGACCTCTAGGCAATCTGCCATACACGGATGATTCTCATACATACATATAGTAGTTAGAGGGTGTTATCGTTTCAGCACCGAATCGAGGATTAGAGGATTTTTCGGTTAGGTCCTTTGGTTTGGTTTCGGATATCCACATCTTCTCTAAGGAGACAAAATAACTTTGTAACCTTTTAAATAAATTTTTTTAAATATCGTTTTTAAGGTTTTGTCAGAGTTCGTCCTCATCTTCACGAATTTCTTGAACGGTTGTCAAATCATTTTCTCTTTATTGCGAGTAAGAGAGTTTATGCAGAAAAACTTTTGGTTTGAATTTTTTTCATTTTTCTACCAATTTTGAAATTATTTCTTCAGAATTTACTTGATCCTGGAAACAGAAGATTTGCTAGCAATTACACCAAAGATTTGAGTATTCTTGGAAGAGATCTTTCAAAAACTGTAATTATTGACAATTGCCTTCAATCATTTGCCTATCAAATTGACAATGGAATTCCAATTGAGAGTTGGTTTGTTGAAAGGAATGATACAGAATTGTTGAAGTTGATACCTTTTTTGGAGTCTTTAAGTAGAGAGGTTTGTTTAAACTTAATTTTTTATAGGAAGTCTCATACTCCTTTACAGGGATATTCCCGAAATCGCGAATTTATTTTTTGTGTCGGCACAATCACTGCTCTTTTATAAATCATAAAAGGGACGACTTTATGACAGGGGAGCAAAGATAGGGACAATACAAGCAGTAATATAAATATGACATTTTAATCGAATAAAAATGGACAGAATTTTGAGGAAAAAGGTTTTACTATGTTTATCTTTCCAGAAAAATAATTTTAAAAAATCAGACCAGAAAAAAATTTCTGAAAATATCTCTGGTTTATGGTTAGATTTTGGCTCACAGCAAAAATTATTCAAAAAGATTTTTTGACAAATTTGTAATAATTCAATCAACAAATTTCTAAAACACATAGAATATTAAAAATAGGGAAAAAGGACCATATGATTTATTTTTAGTGGAATTGAAAGATCTCAACTTTTTTTTAATTCTGAGTTAGCTTCTTAAATTGGAAAATATAATAGGGGTACTAAACTAATTTTTTGATAAACCAGACTAAATTATTTTTTTTTGTAGGGTCAGGATGTCCGTCCACGTATCCGTGAACGTTATCGAATTCATGACATTCTAAACAACAGCTGTGCCTGGACTAACAACAGCAGCAACAATTCTCTTCTCGATTCTACAACAAATTCTCAAGATTTTGGTGAATATAATGTTGGAAATGAAAGTGAAATTTATTCTTAAAATATGGAAATTGAGCAACAACAACAAATCTGATGGTATGAAAAAATTATTTTACAATATTATTATTTTTTAAATATTTAATTTGGAGTTTAAATGAGTATTTCTAGAGTTTTAATGAGCGATTTAAAGAATTTTTATTTTGTCTGATTATTTACAAAAAATGTCCCCGATTTATTCAATTATCTTCTGCTTAAATTCATTTTAAAAACACTTAACAAAAATTTTATTGTAAACCACCGCCTAACACCATGTAAGGATGATTCACTCAGCAGCATTTAAAACGCTTAGGCGAGGGTTAAACGATCTAAAAAGGAAAAGAGAAAGCATTAGTCGATGCCTAGGTAGCTCAGAGGTAGAGTGAGTATAAGTGAGCGGAAGCGCCTAGCAACAACTAGCAGGTGGTCGCAGGTTCGAATCCTGCCCGGTGGCTAAACTTTTGCAAACTCTTTCTACCACAAGAAAACTTAAATAATTATACACAAAACAATTATATATTTTACAAAAATGTTTAGATAAATAAATGTATTTTTTTCAATTTTTAAAAATATTCCTTCCGTAGGATAGAGAAATCTTCTATTGGGGAAAGTTTATTAATTTAGGAAAATTTAAAAAATAGTTAAAATCCAAAAGTATTTTACGCACAGAACAGCCGACTGAATAAACAGAAAATTTTGCGTTTATTTAACAGGGAATATAAACGCTAATAGCTTGTTGAATCGATTTCTTGACCAAGAAAAAAATCCATTTATCGAGGATAAATTTAAAAAATTTTTCTTGGTTAACTTTTTTAAACAAACGCGTATATGCATACTGTCGCTGTTTTTGTTGAGTGACTCTTGTTTGTCTTAGCATCGATTTTTTATACGGCTTGTGTGCGTTTGCTGCACATTATTTTTTTCCCTCGCTTCTTTCCCATTTCTCTTGATGCAAAACAAAATTGGCTTGGGCCCTAAAATTTTTTTTATTTTTTTTCATGTTTTAAATTTAAAAATTCAGAAGAAAATTTTTGGAAACTCGAGCTCATAAAGGACTTCTTCGTATTGCTATAAATGGACTTAAAGATGATGATGGGAAGCCAGTAACTGAGGGACAAAGAATTGGCAGTCAACACAAAGCCTTGGACACTTTAATTTGGATTTTAGAGGAATGGAAGTCTAATGTGCACTCTTCTGAGCTTCAAAAAGTTTGTGAGGTTTCATTAATAATTTTTGGGTATTTTATTTATTCTTGAGCTTTAGTGGTTTTTTTTGGACTTATTACCCGTTTTTCTAATAGATTTTAAAGTCATTGGGCATTTTTTGGTATTTTTTGGTCTTTTCATACCCCTGTCATCTACCCTTCTCCCTGATTTTCCGTCACTTAAAACTTCCATCTGCCTGAAAGCAGTTTTTTAGATCCAATAGAAATGAGGAAAAGTCCGCAAAATATGTCCGGAAGAATTTCCCTTTATCCTTGTAGGTAGCATCCTTAACCAAAAATTTCCCTATTAATTAAAATTTAAGAAATCCTATCAATTTCTTTTCAATTTATAGGTTAATATTTTCTTATTTTTCCCCACTTATTTTTAGGGTTCTACGTCACTCCTCTTTCTGCTAAATTTCCTCAGTTGGTTGACACTTATTGGTCGATGTTGGTCTAAACAATGGGTAAACAGTTTACACAGCAAATTGTCTCGAGAATATGGACTTTCTGGATTTATTTTTGATGAGGTTTTGATTTTTTTGACTTATTTTATTTTTAAAATCTTACAAGAAAAACTCACAAACTGTGAGTCACAATTTTGTATTTTTTAACCAATCGATAGTGCAACTCTAGCATGGTGCTCTTGTGTTCCTTCCCCCCCCCCCCCCCATTTTTGTCAAACTTTGAAAGCCCTATAACTTTTTAGTTTCATGGCCAAAAAATCCGAAAATTTTCTAGAGTAAATCGACGATGCTCTATCGATTTGTACCAAAAAAAGTACAAATTTTTGACTCACAGTTTATGGGTTTATTAGACGATGTTCGATTTTCAATTAAGATTCTTTCGTCTATTTCTCGAATTCTTCAAACTGGCTTCTACGATGCAATTCAACAACTCCCAGCAAACAAAAAAACTTGTTTGGGCTACAGCGAAACCATCATTTGATGAAATTTATGCTGAAGACAAGCAACAGGTTTTCTCAATAACTTTAAAATTTTCTTATTCGGCTTTCCCCTTTCAAAGAATTCGTCTTGGTTTGCTGCTCGTTTTTTAAAATTAAAATCCCCTTATGTTCCGCCTCCAAGTTTTACTACTGGAAATTTTTCAAGAGATCAAGGTTATCTTATTTTTATTTTTGTATTATTTACTTCATTTTAGATCTATGGAAAACAACTCCCTCACCAAACACCTTCCTGCAATGGACAAATTTCCCAATTTATGATTTTGGCAATTCTAATTTAATTAGTGATTTAATTGAGGATTCTAAATTTGCAAATGAGCAGACAAAATTAGCTCTTGAACAATCTAAACCTTGTCGTCAAATGGTTTAGAATTTTATAAAAATTTTTTTGGAAATTTTGTTTTTTTTTTTTATAAATTATTTCTCGACAAGAATTATAATAAGGACACCTTATCCTCTCTCCTCAACCAGCTCCTCTCATTGGCCAATCAAATTTTAAGAAACTTATCCCAAACTGATAATAAGAAGTATCTAATTTTGGGGATAAATATTTTATAGAAAATACGACTTGATTATTTTTTAAGATAACGCTGATGTTATTCACTCAACTTCAATGCTGTGCCCTACGCTGGCTCTTGCCACGCTTAAAGGCTGGCATTTTCCTTCAAAAGATGCTGGCTCTTTTGGTTTGTGCATTTTAGTAGATTAAATATACATCTTATCTTTTTACTAATTTTTGTTTAATCTATAAAAAACTGAGATTCTAAGTAGAGTGTATTGTTTAATGTGTAAATTTACTGCAGTTAAATATATTATGCCACGTTTCAACGCCGTGGCCTGTTTTTAAAGCCGATGCTAGTAAAACATTTGACCAAAACTTTTCGTTCTAACTAAAAGAATTTTTCGAAAGCTCTGGATGTTACATTATTATTCTTTAAAGAGCTGTTTTGATCGATCATGAAGTTTCGATTAACCGAACCGGTAAAGTGATAACCGAAAGTCCTTCGGGGTTTAAAAATATACCCAGTTGTTACGCATTTTCAGAATTTAACGATAAAATGAAAATTTGACAAAAAAATCGGGTTCGGTCAACCAAAAGATCAGGGTTCATAGGAGCAGAAAATTAAAAGAGAAGTTTAGGCCGTATATCATTGTAAGAGCCATATAAATCCTATGAAAATTAATCGTTTAACTCAAACTTTTAAATGGGCTATTTATTCAAATCGACCAAAAGTTACGGCCTAAACTAGGTCCTCGGCACTGAAACGGCAGCACTGATTTCTGAATTTAATTCAAAATATCGGTTGGGGTCAGTTGAGCGCGGCCGGTTGAGCCCCGCCAGTTGAGACCGGGCGGTTGAGACCGAGTACAGTTGAGCGCCCCTTGTTAACTGGCCACTTGAGCGCGAAACGGGGAATGTTGTTCCAAGGCTTGGGATGTTGTTCAATGACTTGGGATGTTGTTCCTAGGACGGGGGAAGTTGTTCAACGGCCTTCGTAATTTTAAAAATTTTCGCCTCCGGCGCTAAAAAAGTGAATTTTTTGGCCTACGGCCTTCTAAAGTTCTCAAAATTTTCGCCTCAATTGAGTCCCGGCTCAATTGAGTCCTGGACCCTATAACTTATGAAGGGATGGTCACTTTTTGTTACTCTTGGTACCAATGGATAGGGCATTAAATAGGCTACAATATACAAAAAAATAAAAATTCCTGACCGACTGGTAAAAAAGTTATGATCGATAAAGTGCCGAAAAATCAGATTTTTTTTTGAAAAAGTTAGTTTTTAAATCATAACTTTTTTTATCAATTGGTCAAAAATTCTGATTTTTTGATATGTTATAGTGCTTTAGATTCTCTGTCCAATAATACCAAGAACATGGAAAATTGACCATTCCTTGCGAAGTTATAGGGCCGGGACTCAATTGAACTGCTCCGAAAATATAAGTTTACTATTTAAGCACCTTAAATCTAAAGCTTTTGTTCATTTCTCTGTTAATCTCGTCTCTTTCCTATTTATGTTTTATTTAATGTAAAAAGATATTGTACTTTGTTCATATCTGCCTCCACTCCTGTTTGAGTGTCAGATTAATTATCCTTTTCTTTACTGTCCATTATTTATTTTCTTTTAATGCCAATCATTTTTTCCTTCAACTATGGAACACCCAAAAGGGCACGCGGCCGTAACGGCGCAAAGGCATAACTTGCTGGAATATTTTCGGCCCTTGTTATTTTTGGCATCTGAATCCTTAGCTCGACGAGAGGAATTGTTTAATATTAATTTTGCTAAGATTCGAAAATCTTGAAGCAAGTTATGGCTTTACGCCGTTATGGCCGCGCGCCCTTTTGGGTGTTCCATATTTGGAGTTAAAAATGATTAGCATTAAAAAAGTAGGAAAATAAATGATTGACAGTAAAAAAATGAAAATTAATCTGAGACTCAATTAGGGATGGGGGCAGGATATGAACAAAGTACCAAAGCTATTTTTAAACATTTAAGAATGAAGCTCATCTTCGGCAAAGAACAGAAAACGTGGCAAGCTAAGCAGAAGGCTATTATTGAGCATGAAGTTAGCGTGAACAAACGCGAGGAAGCGGTTGACGCTCGGGAAAAGGCTGTTAAAAAGCGAGAAGTCCAAGTTGCAAGTGATGAGAAAGAGGTTGAAAAAAAGCCTTGAATTTTTTTTAATTTTTTATTTTTTACAGCTCCGTCGTATGCTCGAATCTACAACGAAGATGCATAAGGATGCATTGAAGTATATCAAATTACTCGAGGATAGGGAGAAGAACATTGACAAATATGAAAACGACGTTCGAATCCAGCTTCAGAATATGAATGCTGCTATTGGTAAGATGACAGAGGACATGAATCTTCTGAAAGGGGAGCTCGGACAGGTTTAACTTTCGGATCTTGTATTGATATAAAAAATTTTAGATGAAGGAGAAGCTGAATCTGATAGATGTCATGAAGGGCCAAATTGCAACTCTAACTGGCTTCATGCATAGTCGACTCGAATCTAAGAGTCGAAAGAAGAAGGAGAAGATGGTGAAATAGGCAGAGGGACAATAAATAGGTCTGGATTGTGTTCTTAATTTGTGACCTTATTTTTTATTTTTAGGACATCAATGGAACATAGGCAATAAATAAAGAAGAGAATAAATTAAAAAAAAAATATTCTCATAAATTTTCTGTCAATAAATTATGTGTTTTGGCTTGATTTTCTGTTTAAAATAAATTAGTTGGTTTGTGTAAATTTTTTTACGAGAAATGAATTGAGGGTATTCTTGACCCAGTTTTTTTATTTAATCGTATCACTCCAATTAAATTACAACCTAGTCTGTTAGGATAAAATTTGAATCTCCGTTTTTTTCTGTTGTACGAAATTTTTTTATTTCCTGGTTTCCATATTTGACTTTTTAATTTATTCATTTCAGTATTTTTATAAAAAAATTTATTGACGTTAAAAACAGTGACTGTTGAAACTGATCTAGCTATGCGAGTTGGCGAACTTAATTTGGAAAAACGAGTGGATGGGGTAGCGGAGAAAATGGACAAGAAACTTTCTACTGACTCTATGAATGGCGAAAGTTTGGAGAAGCGTGTTCGTCAGTTGCGTGGTCCGATTGTTATTGAGCGTGCTCAACATGGAATTGTTAAATGGTTTAGTGTAGCCAAAGGTTTGATTTCTATTGGATAAGCTTCGAGAATAGAAACGGGGTGGGGTAGGCCAGAACATTGCTTGTGTTGAGCTTAGAGTTTGGTCCTTGGTTCTGAACATGTTGAGTGTTTCCTTGACTCCATTCTTGTGAACTGACTCATCCCAGAAATCTAGTTCCGATTTGGATTTTAAAAACCATTTACGCATTTTCAATGAAATCGGGGTCTGTTCTTCCGGGAAGCCTATTTTCTGAATTCTATTTGAAAATCTTTTCCGTGTATCAAGCCCTTAACCAAGAGGGTTGGGGCGAACGAGAGTTTTCCTAACTCGTTTTATCGAGGTCGAAACCTTGGTTCAGACAACACCTATAAGTTTTTCAGTATTTTCATAAAAATTTATTGACGTTAAAAAACAATGACTGTTGAAACTGATCTGGCTAAGCGAGTTGGCGAACTTAATTTGGAAAAACGAGTGGATGGAGTAGCGGAGAAAATGGACAAGAAACTTTCTCTGACTCTATGAATGGCGAAAGTTTGGAGAAGCGTGTTCGTCAGTTGCGTGGTCCGATCGTTATTGGGCGTGCTCAACATGGAATTGTTAGATGTTTAGTGTAGCCAAAGGTTTGATTTCTTTTGGATAAGCTTCGAGAATAGAAACGGGTTGGGTAGGCCAGAACATTGTTTTGGTTGAGTTTAGATCTGGTCCTTGGTTCTGAACTTGATGAGTGTTTTCTTTGACTCCAAACATTCCTTTCATATAGAGTCGTCCCGGTTTTGGATTTTAGTAATCACCTATGCATGTTTTCAGGAAATCGCGGGCCTGTCTCCATGAAGAATAGGAACCTTGGTACAAACAAAACCTCTAATCTCGTCCTATTCCTGATTAATAGTAAGCATTATTTCCATAAAGTTCCTCGTTTAGATTTTCAATTTGTTTTACAGTTCCTAACTTTCATAATTTAAGGATATGGTTTTATTCGTGTTGATGGTTCGGAAAAGGACTGCTTTGTTCATGCCTCCGCCATTCTTCGTACAGTTAATGTCCCTCTTGCTTTGATTGAGAATCAACAGGTTTCTACTTTAACGACTTTAGAAATATTATTTTCTTCTCAATTTTAGGTCGAGTTTGATATAATTGAAGGACTGAAAGGTCCTGAAGCTGTTTGCGTTTCTGGCCCCGGCGGTGTTCGTGTTGGCAAGACTATTGGTTATATGTATAAAGGTACTTTTTACCATACATATCCGCGTTTCCGTCAATTTCCAATGATGCCTGGTCGTTATCCTGCTGGTCAGCGCCGAAATGACAACAACACTGTAGAGCATAAACAAAATAGCAATATGGGGAAGAAGGTGGATGCTGGTAGTGAAAAGAATGGGAACCGTCATCAAAAGGCTATTGAAGGTGAAGGAAAGGCGGTCGTTCATGATGAAAAGACTACTGAAGGAAAAACGGTTTAATTTTTTATAATTTTTTTATTTTGGGGAGTTCACTAGGGTTTTTGGGATCTTCCAAGCATTTTATTAAGCAATAGTTGGGTAACTTTCATTTCTTCACTATTTTCCCTTGTTTTTCCTTTGGAATTTTTGAATCAATCAAAACGGATTAATTTTGCGTAACTCCGACAGATTCGATTCCACGTTCATGACACGTTATTTTTACCTTATTTTCATTCTCTCGGGTCATTCCTTTTTCATGAAGAGATTTGGAAGTGTTCATTCCCTAATTAAAACGAGAATCCTTTTGCATTTCTCATATTTGTCTATAAAATTCAAACTTAAAAAAAGTTCGAAAAAGTTCTAATTTTTTAAATTTTTGCTTACTACAAAAGTATTTTTAGCGTTTTGGGGTGCCAAAAAGGGAAAACACGCTGAACGCATAACTTCAAAAAGGGTTAGAAACACTCCGGTACTTATTTTTCCCATCCCAGTAAGTCTCCCTTACATTAATATTGTACATACTTGTCAGACTTACATAATTGTCAGACTCCTCTCCTTTTCTCAATTTCCTGTCCATTTTCCTGTCCATTCTTGTCAACGTGACAAGCTAGACCTTTTGTACATTTTAAGAAAAGAAGATTTACTGGGTGGGCGGCCAAATAAGTACCAATACGCCACGTCCTTCGTATGGGAACGTTTTGTTGATTGACATGTTTCTTTCGTTTTATGTTTTCGGATTTTCTGACACGAAAAAAAATTTATAAGCAAAAGATTTTGAATATTTTTAATTTTTAGATTAAAAAAAATTAAATAAAAATGGCTTCAACAATTACTGGACTAGCAGAAAATGCAGCATTTAGAACTTTGGCTGATCAATCTAGAGAAGTAAATATGATGGAAGAATTCAAAATTGATCCAAAACGTGCAGAAAAGTTTACTTTAAAATTGTTGAATTCAAATAGAGGTCTTCAACTTTATTTTGATTTTTCAAAAAATATAATTGATGATTCGAAGTTTAAGCAACTTATTGATATTGTGGGTATATTTTTTAATTAGGTATAAGGGTGAGTGTTTCCCTGGTTCTAGAAAAGGATCGCGAACTTACGATTCTGGCTTTTCGTTAAGTTTAGTTGTTCCACGGTTTAGGATTGCGGTTTATGGCTTTTTGAATCCGTTTTTTGCAAACTTGAGCTTTTATACTAGGGTTTGATCCCCGGAGAAAGGGCTTCCCAGGGATCTGCGGAGGTCTCACCAAGAGCCATGATCTCTCATGTCAGTTCGCCTAGCCCTCGTGCAATGTACACGATTTTATTAAAGATAATCTTCTGATAAAAAAAACTTGCGGAAAGACTTGTGGAATTTTGGGAACAATGAAAAAGAACGCGTTTCTGTTTTACATTATTTTTAAATCCAATTTTTAGGCTCGTCAAGCTAATGTAGAACAATGGCGTGACAAAATGTTTTCTGGTGAACATATTAATTTTACAGAGGGACGTTCTGTTCTACACGTTGCATTGCGAAATAGAGAAAATAAACCGATTTTGGTTGATGGAAAAGATGTAAAAATATTATATTTATTTAAGAGTATTCGTGAAGGTTTACACTTTTGCGGACAATTTTTTGCGGATTATTCTTCGCATTTCTCTTAATTCTTTTGGAATTCAAAATGCAAACTTGATATACAAAATTTTTAGATAGTTTCTGGGAATTCCATTTTAAATAAATTAGAATGCCGATTTCATCCATTTTGGGCCCAGGAAAATAGGAGAAAAGTCCGCAAAAAATAATCCGCCGATGGTTTTTGGCCTGAAAAAATTAGTTGGACTCTATACTTTTTCAAATTTCGGGAACCTCTATCTAGGTCCACAATCGTTTCCCCACTGGCATTGAATATATAAATCAACCCTTTTATGAGAAGTATTGGATTAAACTTTTCCGTGAGCCCCTCAATCTTTACAAGTATCCAATTTAAATAATCTGAAAAATATTTTTTTTTAATTTTTAAAGGTAATGCCTGATGTTAATGCAGTTCTTAAACATATGAAAGAATTTTGTGATCAAATAATTAGTGGCCAATGGACTGGTTATACTGGTGAAAAAATTACGGATGTTGTTAATATTGGAATTGGTGGTTCTGATTTGGTATATTTTTTAGAAATCAAATTGTATTTTAATTTAATTAATGAAATACACCACTTAATACTTTTTGTCTTGTAACCCTAAACCATTCTATTGCATTTTTTTAATTTAAGGCCCTTTAATGGTCACTGAAGCTCTCAAATTTTATCAAAGAGGCCCAAATGTGCATTTTGTCTCAAATATTGATGGAACCCATTTGGCTGAGGTTTAAATTAATTTTTAAGATTAAGAATATTTTTTAGGTTCTTAAAAAAGTCAATCCAGCAACCGTTCTTTTCATTATTGCTCCAAAAACGTTTACAACACAGGAGACAATTACAAATGCGGAATCTGCTCGTGAATGGTTTTTTAAATTTTTTTCGAATTTTTCAATTTAAAATTTTTTAAGGTTTGTGACGAAAGCAGGTGATGCAAAACATGTCGCCAAACATTTTGTTGCGCTTTTTACAAATGCAACTAAAGTCAAGGAATTTGGTATACTTTTTAGCTTTTTGCTCCTTGAGTCTAAAAATCACTTAAATATTTCGGTATTTGAGCCTTTTAAAAGGCTGAATTAGGGTTGTCTGTTATTTGCACATTTCCGGAACCAAGCCGAAAAATCCTCTTTTCTTCGGTTCGGTTCTGAACCAACGACCCTAGGTTGGATTCTTCCTTTTGTCCTTATTTTATAAGACTACAAGAATATTAAGATAGTCGCTATGTTTAAGTTATAATAATTTCAAGCTATCCAATCTATTTTATTTTTAGGTATTTCTGAAGAGAATATGTTCGAAAATTGGGATTGGGTTGGTGGTCGTTACTCTCTTTGGTCTGCAATTGGTCTTTCAATTGCTGTTCACATTGGATTTGAAAATTTTGAACAATTGCTTGATGGTGGTTTTCTAGTTGATAAACATTTTTGTCAAACACCGCTTGAGTCTAATGTATATTTTTTCTTATTTTTTGATAGATAGGGTTGTCGATTTAAATCTAACATAAGTATTTTTGCTTTCTGCTCTAAATTAATAGTTATCTATTCCTAGTAAAGCTAATGCTTGTTACTAGTTCGAGGCCAGATCTAGGAATGGTATGAAGCAGGGATTCATGTATTGACATGAGAGAAAAAACGAGCCTGGTTTCAGAAATTTTCTTCGGACTGTGTTTCGTGTCGAAAGGCGGGTTTTTTGAATAACCTGTGACATCTCTGATGCGAAGTACGAGGATGAGTACGAAATAGAAACAGTTTCAAAGTAGGGTGTTTCGGATGTCTGAAGATCCTTTAGCTCGACAACCCTTAAGATAACCTTAATAATTTAAAATTTATAGATTCCTGTAGTTCTGGCTGTTTTGGGCATTCTCTATATAAATTTACATAAAGCTGAAACACTTGCTTTATTGCCCTATGATCAATATATGCATCGCTTTGCTGCCTATTTCCAACAAGGAGATATGGAAAGTAATGGAAAAAGTGTTTTGAGGTTTTTTTTATTTTTTAAAGAAATTTTTTAAAATTTTTCTTTAAAGAAATGGCTCTGGAACTTTGTTACAAACAGGACCTATTGTTTGGGGAGAACCTGGAACCAATGGACAGCACGCCTTTTATCAATTAATCCATCAAGGAAAGCATCTGATTCCCTGCGATTTTATTGCACCAATTCAAAGTTTGAATCCTATAGTGCAGGTCTTCACCATACGGTTTTTATTTAATTAATATTTTTGGATTTAAATTTTGGGTAAAGGTTTACTTTTGAGTAGATCTAAATCAGTCATCCTATAAGCAGGGATCCGCTTGAATTTCGATAGTTTTTAAAGAATTTTCGTTAATTTTTTCTAATTTTTAACAAACCCTGTCCTGCATTAAGCGGGAATATAAAGTAAAAGCTCTTGGAAAAGATTTTTGGGTCAGTTTTAGATAATATAAGGACATTTGTATTGGCATAACCGGATACCTTTTCTGGTTAAGGCTTGTACGTGAATCGGATCAGCCCGGATCATGTCTCGCCGGGTCAAGTCATCTTGCCATTTTTTGGCTTTTTGGTTTGCTTTCTAATTTTATTTTTCCTCATTCCACAGATTTTGCTTGCCAATTTTTTGGCACAAACTGAAGATTCAATGAAAGGAAAATCTTCAGAAGAAATAGAAAGTGAACTTGGGTATTGTGACTTATAGCGGGTTTTTTGTTTCTGAACCGATTTCGACAAATGAGGTGTCATTCGAAAGAGCTTCGAAAACTGAGTCGAACTAGATACGGGGGAAGTCGGTCCGACAAGCAAGGGCCGAGTTACAGACCCCTGAAGTTTGAAAAAGAGAAGGGGGGAGTAAGCTCATTTTGGGGTGAAAAATTCGAAAATGCAAATAATAGCTCATTCGAATCAGCTCGTCGAGCTGAGTCGAATGACACCAAAATCACCGAAATCCTCCCAAACTTGATTGACTTCTGCTTGGGCTTCCTTCACCTCTATTTCATCCCATCCTTTTCTAGCATCATCTTTAACTGTACCATTTAACTCTTCAACCCTTTTTGCTTGTGTCACTGCTTCTGCCAAAGTAGAGGGCGATTTTATAAAAATAACTTTTTCCCTTATTTCAGGCAGCAACCCGGCTTTAAATCTTTCTGCACAAATTTCCTCCCTAAACCTTTTGGCCATTTTTTCATTTTTCAACCCCAAAAAAAAATTTCAAATTTCCAAAAAATTTCAAAAGAGCCCCCAGGATAAGCCGCCTCTGCTAAATCCTTCAAATCTCGTGAAAATTCATCAATTGATTCCCCCACTTCTTGCTTTTTTTCAACCAATTTTAAGCGAGCGGTTTCTTTATTTGACGTCTTTTTTAGCCTTTTAACCAACCCTTCTAGTAAGGACCTCCAATTCGATTTTTCCTCCCCAGGAATCGACTCATAAATTGCAAGGGCTGCCCCACGAAGATAAAGTGGTAATATCTGAGCACATCTTGGGGGAGTCCAATTGTGGGCTGTTGCAATACGGTTGAAGTTTTTTATATAGGCGGTGAAGTCTTCTGTGCCATTATAGAATCTCGGATAGGGCAAACCACTGGAATCCATTGAATTATTGTTCCCTTCCAAATTTTCCCCTTCATATTTTCCAAGTTCTAAGTTTTCATCCTTCATTTTAGTCGTTCAATAATCTCCAATACACCCCTTTTAAAAATTCTTTTCCAATTTTAATTATTGCCCAAATTTTCACAACACTATATTTTATCTTTTTCTTTTTAGCTAAAGTTTGCCCACGTTTGGGGAACTAATAGGAGCCCTGCAGTGCCCCTACTAGTCTGTTGCGAAGGGATTCGAGCTTGTTTTTTATGTTCCTTTTTATTTTCGGCCAATTTAATATTTTATAGACGTGCACGTATTAATTTAAATCGTGGCTGGATGTGAAAATTAAAGAACTAAGCTGCCTTCCGGTAAGCAGCTTCCCTCAGAAAGATCCCAAATTCTCTTTATTATCGTCCAATGGCCCTCCGAGAATAGTTAGACTTCAGAAAATCCCCACTGCAACTTTACAACCCCTCTTCTTTCTTTGAAAGCCTCAGAATATCCCCAATCTCCTTTGAAAAATTTTCCCAAAGATTGCCCAGAAAATAATTCCCTTCTTCAGAAAAGTCAATCGTCTGTCCTTTTTGCTCTCCCAAAGATTGTTGGTTTTTAAATTCTTCTTTATTCGCAGCCCAAAGTACTTGCTTCCTTCCCCAACTTCTTTTCCCCGAGCCAATCCTCAGAAATTCTTCAAATCTTTATAAGAAATATCTTCCCCAAAATTCTTTATTATCAGGCCCCTTGTTTCTTCTTTCTTCCCCAGAGAATAATCCCAAATCTTCTTGTTCTTCGATATTCCCCAGAAGTTTTCCCAACTTCTTAATTATCAGGCCCTTGTGATTCTTCTTTTATCCACAGAAAAGTATCCCCAAATCTTTGTTCCCAGAAAGCGTTTGCCCTTCTTCTTTTCTTCAAGTCCTTCTTCTTTTCTTCAAGTCCTTCTTTATTGATGAACCCCTTTTATTCTTCTTGTTAGTTTACCCCAGAATGAATGCCCAAATATAGTTTACAACCGCATCTTTATATAAACATTTTTCCTTCGCAAAAAGTTGCGGGTTGTAATATTTCTGGTTTGATTGACACCCCCCAAAATTAGGCGTTTCCTCCCATTTTTGATATATTTACGCCCAAATTTTTTCTTTCCCATTTTTTAAATTAATTAATGCCCATTTCCGCCCAAATTTTCAGTCACACTAATGTGAAAAGAAACAGGACTAATTTAACCATTTTTTAACCGCTTCGCCAAAATTAGTATTTTTGATTGATGAGTAGAAGAAAAAAAATTTTTTTTTTAAATAAAGTATTTTTGGAGAGAATTTTTGGTGGAGAAATAAAAATTTTTAAATAAAGGTTGGGGAGTTGGAATAGATGTATTGTTGATTAACTAGGTGGTGATAGTTAGGAGAGGAGACCATATTATATATCTTAGTTCTCTTTCCGAAAACTAGTCGACGTTGGGCCCCAAGAGTGGAAACCCACTCTTGGGGCGCGCTGAACCACCGATTAAATGGAAAGTTTTCTTTTTAAAGTTTTATTTAACAAATATATTTGACAAAAATAAGGGAGGGAGAACCGGCCAACTTTTGGTCGGAGTTGAGATTGGGCGAATGAACTTGTTTGGCCGATTCTCGCTCGCCTTTTATGGGCCATGCAAAATTGGGCGGTTAATAATTAAACTTAATTATGACACTTTTCAATTCTACTTATTTATTGTTCAAAAACTTACCTACTTTCTCACCTAAATGCTATGTTTTCTGTATCCTTGTCTTTTCAATTCTACTTATTTATTGTTCAAAAACTTACCTACTTTCTCACCTAAATGCTATGTTTTCTGTATCCTTGTCTTTTCAATTCTACTTATTTATTGTTCAAGAACTTACCTACTTTCTCACCTAAATGCTATGTTTTCTGTATCCTTGTCTTTTCAATTCTACTTATTTATTGTTCAAGAACTTACCTACTTTCTCACCTAAATGCTATGTTTTCTGTATCCTTTTCTTTTCAATTCTACTTATTTATTGTTCAAGAACTTACCTACTTTCTCACCTAAATGCTATGTTTTCTGTATCCTTGTCTTTTCAATTCTACTTATTTATTGTTCAAGAACTTACCTACTTTCTCACCTAAATGCTATGTTTTCTGTATCCTTGTCTTTTCAATTCTACTTATTTATTGTTCAAGAACTTACCTACTTTCTCACCTAAATGCTATGTTTTCTGTATCCTTGTCTTTTCAATTCTACTTATTTATTGTTCAAGAACTTACCTACTTTCTCACCTAAATGCTATGTTTTCTGTATCCTTTTCTTTTCAATTCTACTTATTTATTGTTCAAGAACTTACCTACTTTCTCACCTAAATGCTATGTTTTTTGTATCCTTGTCTTTTCAATTCTACTTATTTATTGTTCAAGAACTTACCTACTTTCTCACCTAAATGCTATGTTTTCTGTATCCTTGTCTTTTCAATTCTACTTATTTATTGTTCAAGAACTTACCTACTTTCTCACCTAAATGCTATGTTTTCTGTATCCTTTTCTTTTCAATTCTACTTATTTATTGTTCAAAAACTTACCTACTTTCTCACCTAAATGTTATGTTTTCTGTATCCTTGTCTTTTCAATTCTACTTATTTATTGTTCAAAAACTTACCTACTTTCTCACCTAAATGCTATGTTTTCTGTATCCTTGTCTTTTCAATTCTACTTATTTATTGTTCAAAAACTTACCTACTTTCTCACCTAAATGCTATGTTTTCTGTATCCTTGTCTTTTCAATTCTACTTATTTATTGTTCAAGAACTTACCTACTTTCTCACCTAAATGCTATGTTTTCTGTATCCTTGTCTTTTCAATTCTACTTATTTATTGTTCAAGAACTTACCTACTTTCTCACCTAAATGCTATGTTTTCTGTATCCTTTTCTTTTCAATTCTACTTATTTATTGTTCAAGAACTTACCTACTTTCTCACCTAAATGCTATGTTTTCTGTATCCTTGTCTTTTCAATTCTACTTATTTATTGTTCAAAAACTTACCTACTTTCTCACCTAAATGCTATGTTTTCTGTATCCTTGTCTTTTCAATTCTACTTATTTATTGTTCAAAAACTTACTTACTTTCTCACCTAAATGCTATGTTTTCTGTATCATTGTCTTTTCAATTCTACTTATTTATTGTTCAAGAACTTACCTACTTTCTCACCTAAATGCTATGTTTTCTGTATCCTTGTCTTTTCAATTCTACTTATTTATTGTTCAAAAACTTACCTACTTTCTCACCTAAATGCTATGTTTTCTGTATCCTTGTCTTTTCAATTCTACTTATTTATTGTTCAAGAACTTACCTACTTTCTCACCTAAATGCTATGTTTTCTGTATCCTTTTCTTTTCAATTCTACTTATTTATTGTTCAAGAACTTACCTACTTTCTCACCTAATGCTATGTTTTCTGTATCCTTGTCTTTTCAATTCTACTTATTTATTGTTCAAAAACTTACCTACTTTCTCACCTAAATACTATGTTTTCTGTATCCTTGTCTTTTCAATTCTACTTATTTATTGTTCAAGAACTTACCTACTTTCTCACCTAAATGCTATGTTTTCTGTATCCTTGTCTTTTCAATTCTACTTATTTATTGTTCAAGAACTTACCTACTTTCTCACCTAAATGCTATGTTTTCTGTATCCTTGTCTTTTCAATTCTACTTATTTATTGTTCAAGAACTTACCTACTTTCTCACCTAAATGCTATGTTTTCTGTATCCTTTTCTTTTCAATTCTACTTATTTATTGTTCAAAAACTTACCTACTTTCTCACCTAAATGTTATGTTTTCTGTATCCTTGTCTTTTCAATTCTACTTATTTATTGTTCAAAAACTTACCTACTTTCTCACCTAAATGCTATGTTTTCTGTATCCTTGTCTTTTCAATTCTACTTATTTATTGTTCAAAAACTTACCTACTTTCTCACCTAAATGCTATGTTTTCTGTATCCTTGTCTTTTCAATTCTACTTATTTATTGTTCAAGAACTTACCTACTTTCTCACCTAAATGCTATGTTTTCTGTATCCTTGTCTTTTCAATTCTACTTATTTATTGTTCAAGAACTTACCTACTTTCTCACCTAAATGCTATGTTTTCTGTATCCTTTTCTTTTCAATTCTACTTATTTATTGTTCAAGAACTTACCTACTTTCTCACCTAAATGCTATGTTTTCTGTATCCTTGTCTTTTCAATTCTACTTATTTATTGTTCAAAAACTTACCTACTTTCTCACCTAAATGCTATGTTTTCTGTATCCTTGTCTTTTCAATTCTACTTATTTATTGTTCAAAAACTTACCTACTTTCTCACCTAAATGCTATGTTTTCTGTATCCTTGTCTTTTCAATTCTACTTATTTATTGTTCAAGAACTTACCTACTTTCTCACCTAAATGCTATGTTTTCTGTATCCTTGTCTTTTCAATTCTACTTATTTATTGTTCAAAAACTTACCTACTTTCTCACCTAAATGCTATGTTTTCTGTATCCTTGTCTTTTCAATTCTACTTATTTATTGTTCAAGAACTTACCTACTTTCTCACCTAAATGCTATGTTTTCTGTATCCTTTTCTTTTCAATTCTACTTATTTATTGTTCAAGAACTTACCTACTTTCTCACCTAATGCTATGTTTTCTGTATCCTTTTCTTTTCAATTCTACTTATTTATTGTTCAAGAACTTACCTACTTTCTCACCTAAATGCTATGTTTTCTGTATCCTTGTCTTTTCAATTCTACTTATTTATTGTTCAAAAACTTACCTACTTTCTCACCTAAATACTATGTTTTCTGTATCCTTGTCTTTTCAATTCTACTTATTTATTGTTCAAGAACTTACCTACTTTCTCACCTAAATGCTATGTTTTCTGTATCCTTGTCTTTTCAATTCTACTTATTTATTGTTCAAGAACTTACCTACTTTCTCACCTAAATGCTATGTTTTCTGTATCCTTGTCTTTTCAATTCTACTTATTTATTGTTCAAGAACTTACCTACTTTCTCACCTAAATACTATGTTTTCTGTATCCTTGTCTTTTCAA